TGCAAAATCTCACCAATGGGAACGCCTCTCCTTCGTTCAGTGCACTCGCCCCCTTCCAAATGGGACTTTACATGGAAGAGATCTTCCAACTGGGTTCCAGTTTAAGGGGTCTGGCTATTTGGAAATCTTTGTCATCACCTCTGCGGCCTTGTCTGGAGATCAACTACAGGTCGTCCTCGACTTACAACCAGGACTGGGACCAGAATTTGTTCTTTAGCAAAGCGGTTAAGTGTGTCATGCCCCATTTTATAACTTTTTTTTTTTTTTTGCCATGCTTAAGTGAATCACTTAAGTGAATCACACAGGGACACAGTGGCTCTGTGGTTAAGATGCTGAGCTTGTCGCTCGAAAGATCGGCAGTTCAGCGGTTCGAATCCCTAGTGCTGCGTAACGGGTGAACTCCTGTTATTTGTCCCAGCTTCTGCCAACCTAGCAGTTCGAAAGCACTGTTAAAGTTGATGGTTCTAGCCCAATAACTCACTAATCAAAATGTATTTTATTTTCAAGCTTTTATTTTAGACCTGGATAGATCCTAGGCCTCTTTAATCATTAAACCTTTAACGTTACGTTTCTCTCTTTTAGATACACAACTGGAACTGCACAGATTTACCTCAGAGAGACCTTTTTATACCCGAGGGGAGGAGTCAGGAATTCAGGTAGGATTATGGAAATGAGGGGGGCGTGTATTATTGTTAACCCTTGCAGAAATGTAAGAAGGTAGAGATACAGACAAGATATAAACAAGTTAGACATTTTACATAACAAAACCCCCTCTAAATGTCTAACTGATGGCTTGTACATAATATATATATATATATATATATATATCCAAAAATTAATATTGATGAACATGAAGATAAATGATTTATATACAAACGTGAAATTTTGACATGAGGTATGAGTGTTGCTTGTTGGGTAAAGGTTTGGTAAGTATGTCAGCTACTTGTTCCTCAGTGTCACAATGTATAGCTTTAATGAATCCGATTTCTGAGAACTGTCTAACGTGCTTACATTTAATATCTATGTGCCTTGACCTTTGTCCAATGGCATCAGAATTTGAAATTTCAATGGCAGCTTTATTATCCTCGTAACTGATTATAGGATATGATGGTTCTGTCTATATGTCACTGAGCAGATCATCAAACCAAATTAGATTATTTGCTGCTTTAGATAGACAAATGAATTCTGACTCGGTGGTGGAGGTAGCTACTAGTTTTTGTTTTCCTGTATACCAATGGATTGGGCAATTATTGAGAAAAAGTACATATCCAGAAGTACTTTTTCTATTTTTAATATCTCCTGCCTAATCTGCATCCACATAACAGGATAATTTGGGTTTTGTGGATAAGTTAGGTTCAAGGCATAATTGGGCATTAATACTATGTTTTAGATATCTGAGCAATTTCTTTATAGCATTCCAGTGGAATATGGTGGGATTACTTACATGCCTGGATAATAAGTTAACAGCTAAAGCAATGTCGGGTCTAGTCCAATTTGCAATGTATAGTAATGATCCAATCGTGGCTCTGTATAATTTATTATCAGAAAAGGGCTCTGCTTCATTGCACATATTTTTCAAAAAATCTTGTTGCATGGGAGTTTCGCTGGGTTTTCTGACATGTTGCATTTTAATAAAAGTGCTGTTATTTTCTCTTTTTGTGATAGTCGAAAGCCTTTACTTGTTTTTGTTGCTTGAACTCCCAGATATTTGTCTATTTTTCCTAATGATTTTAATGAGAAGTGGTTCCCTAAATCAGAGGCGAATTTCTCACATTTAGCTTTTTCTTTACCTATATATAATATGTCGTCCACATAGACGAGGATGCCTTCAAAAGATCCCTTCTCTCTCTTTATGAAGAAGCATTTGTCTGCAGAGGTGGCGGTGAAACCCATTGAGTTGAGTGCCTTAGACAGGCACTCATACTACCTCTTGCCAGATTGTTTTAGTCCATATAGACTCTTATTAAGGAGCCATGTGTCGTCTTTTCCTTTGTTGTATCCTGGTGGAGCTTTTACATAAATTTCTTTGTCCAGTTTTGCATGAAGGTAGGCAGTTTGGATGTCAAATTGAAATACTTCCAACCCTAGGATGGTGGATATTACGAGGGCGCTCTTGACACTTTCAGCTCTGACAGTTGGGGAATAGGTATCTGTATAGTCTTCTGAGCAAAACCCTGTGCCACTAGCCTTGCTTTGTACAATACGTTGTTGTTTTCTAGGGTCTTGATTCCGTACACCCATTTTGTCCCTATGGGTTTTTTATTTTCAGGTGTTTGTGTTGGTGAATATACTTGCACGTCTCGGAGACTCTTCATTTCCTTTTCCATTGCTTCTTTCCATTTTTCTCTCTCCTCTAGGGGAAGTTTGAGTATATCTTCATATGAGCTGGGTGTTATGTTGTTGGTTTGTATGGACATGATGTAGTCCTCGAGTCTTTTTGGTTTTTTGTTTCTACTGTCTCTGATTGGTCTGTCATTTTGTTTGTTTGTTTCGTGTAGGTATTCAGTCTCTTCATCAGTGAGTTTATCTATGTTCAAAGTGGGGTGTTCTTCCTTCCATTCTTTGACTTTTAATTCATGGTGTTTTGGTTTGTATGTTTCTGTTTCCTCTTTCCCTTCAGTGATCATCCACTTATTCTCTTGTTTCTGTGGATGTGTATTTCTATTGGCAAAAATGTCATTGGAGTGTAATCTTGACCAATTTGAGTGTTCATGGAAGTCAGCTGATCTTGATACAACAAATTTGTTGTTCTGATCTAAGAATCTGAAACCTTTTGTTCCTGGTTCATATCCCATAAATCTCATTCTTTTGGATATTTTATCTCCCTTCTTTCTTAATTGTCTGGGGATATGAACATCAGCGGGAACGCCAAATACGTGTAGGTGGGCCAGGTTGGGTTTTCTTTTGTACATCATTTCATAAGGGGTTTTGCCAATTGAACTAGACCATAATCTATTTAATGTGTAATTTGAGTAATGTAATGCTTCCAACCAAAATGATTTTCCCATCCCAGCATCCTCTAGAACACATCTTATCATGGTTTGGAGTACGCGGTTTTTTCGTTCTACTACTCCATTTTGAAAAGCTGAGAAAGGTGATGAAGTAAAATGTAATATGCCTCGTTCTCTTACCCAACTCGTGAATTCTCTAGCCATGAATTCTGAACCTCGATCAGTCATTAATTGTTTGATTTTTGTATTGTGTTGTAATTCGAAAAATGGGGACCACCTTTGGTGGGAAGGTAATAACGTTCGTGCACCTTTGGCATTTAGTCATGCCGGCCACATGACCACGGAGACGTCTTTGGACAGTGCTGGTTCTTCAGCTTTGAAATGGAGATGAGCTCCGCCCCCTAGAGTCGGGAACGACTAGCACATATGTGCAAGGGGAACCTTTACCTTTAAATGAATCACACAATCGTTAAATGAATCCAGCTTCCCCCATTGACTTTGGTTGTCAGAAACCAGAAAGGATGAGTTCAGACCATGATCATGTGACCCTAGGATGCTGCAATCGTCATAAATACATGCAGGTTGTCAAGAGCCAGAAATCTGATTATGTGCCTGAGGGGCAAACCCTGACACAATGGTCCTAAGGGCAGATCTTAAGGCACGTTTGTCAGAGCCACCGTGACTTGGAACAGCTGGTAAAAGAATGGTTGTTAAGACAAGAATTACCTGCGCAGGTGCCTTGCAAGGAGAGGCGGAGAATGTGTTGAAAGGCTGGGACTTTGTGGTGCTTCATCCCCATCAAAGTGCCTGTGGGCTTATCTATGCAGGATTTTAAATGCAACCTCTCTAGATGACTTTTGCTAAATCTACTGTGGAATTCTAAGTGTGTCAATCGCAGCCTATTTGCAATTGACATTTCTGTTAATGCAGCACTGTACGTTTATTTTAAAGTTTTTACTCACTTAGTAAAACTTACCAAAGGCTTTTTTTGCCCCTAAAATGGACAGCTGGGTTCCTACAGAAAAAAAAATATATCTAAATTTTTATATTTGTTTCAGGTTACCCCAATTAAAATAGATAAACCATTTTTTGAAAAGCTGAATAAAATAACATCTAAATTTATATGGCAAGGGAAAAGGCCACGAATAAAATTTAAACTGCTTCAGGATACAAAAGATAGAGGAGGAACTGCACTCCCTGACTGGGAGATATACTACCAAGCAGCAGTACTATCGTGGGTCAAAGATTGGATAGAATTAAAGGATTCTAGAATTTTAACAATTGAGGGACACGAACTTCAAACTGGCTGGCACGCCTTTATGTGGGATGAGAAATACAAAACACATTCATATTTTAAAACACATACAATAAGGAACTCACTATTACAAATTTGGCTTAAAATTAAAAAACAACATTATATGAAGATACCAAATTGGCTAGCACCGGCTGAATCAATTAGGCACCCAAACTTAACAGATAAGATAAAAATAATTAGATATAAAGATATAATTGACTATCAAGGCAAACTAAAGACAAAACAACAATTGGAGATAGATTTACACAGAGGAATAGACTGGTGGACTTACATTCAAATACAATCCAAATATAGAGAACATATAAAAACATATGAAATTTATAATCAAAAACAAGAAATAGATAAAATTATATTAGATTCAGAAAATAAATTAATTAGTAGAATTTATAAATTTCTCCTATGCTATAAATTGGAAGAAGAGACAGTCAAAGAAACGATGATCAAGTGGGCTCAAAATATCAAACACACAATACCTTTGGAAAAATGGGAAAAGTTCTGGCAGGTAAACCTAAAGTTAATGAAAGCAACGGCGTACAAGGAAAACCAACTGAAAATGTTTTATCGGTGGCATATGTCTCCAACCAGATTGGCAAAAATACAACCTAAAAATAGCCCAATTTGTTGGAAGTGCAAAAAGGCACAAGGGACTTTCTATCATTTATGGTGGACGTGCCCGGCAGCAAAGAAATTTTGGTCTAACATCAAAAAATGGTTGGAACAAATAAAAACACAGATTGAAAAAGAACCAGAAACATTTTTATTAGGAATATTTAACAAATCATACCCTAAGGATATCAAATATCTTACAATCCACATATTAACTGCTGCAAGAATAACCTATGCAAGAAATTGGAAACAAGAAAAAATACCAAGTGAAACAGAAGTAATAGGGAAAATTTTAGAATGCACTGAAATGGATAGGTTAACCAAAGAATTACAAGAAAAAGAAGAATCAGACTATTATAAAATATGGAATAATTGGTATAATTGGTTAAAAATTAGAAATATACAAAAAATATAGGGGATATATTACTGATTGATACATATATATGTAATAAAAAATATTATTAGATTAAAGAGAGGTGAAGGAATATATTATAAATAGAATTGTAGAACGTCACTCTGAAAAAATGCTTAAGAAGAAATTACACTCTTTTTGTGTATATGTTGTATAAATGTTTGTTGTGTATATGTTACGTATGTCTTTTTTAATATTTATATTCAATAAAAACTATTTAAAAAAAAAGAAAGAAAGAAAAATCACATCACGGCTTAGTGTCCGTGGAGATTCACAATCATCCAGGTCGTGGTTGTCACAAAAATACTTTTTCAAAAGGCAACCGGATTTTGTTTTTCCTTGAAGACGTTTCGCTTCTCATCCAAGAAGCTCCTTCAGTTCTGCAAACTCTGCCAGAAATTTGCATTACAGGTGGTCCTTGAATTGCAGCCGTTCGTTTAGTGACCATTCAAAATTAGAATGGCACCGAAAAAAATTGTCTCAAACCTGGTCCTCACATTTAAAACTTGTTTCAGCACACACACCCGCATAAGTCACATGATTGAAATTCAGCTTATGCAAAGCTCTCTCTCTTTGCAGGCCAGGCTTTGCTGAGCTCACCAGGGGGGCCCTGAGTCTGTCTAAAGGGCCTGGAGGAGCCAGGAGGATTGGGGGAGGGGGTTCAGTGGCTCACAGCCCAGGAGACAGAATAGAGACAAGTCTCTCTTTAAAATAGCTGCTCTCCAACTGCAAAAGTGTCCCAAGCATGGGAAGCAGGGGTGGCAGAGGTGGGTTTCAGCAGGTTCTGATCAATTCTGGAGAACCGGTAGTGGAAATTTTGAGTAGTTCGGAGAACCGGTAGTAAAAATTCTGACTGGCCCTGCCCCCATCTATTCTCTGCCTCCCAAGTCCCAGCTGATAGAGAGGAAATAGGGATTTTGCAGTATCCTTCCCCTGGAGTGGGGTGGGAATGGAGATTTTACAGTATCCTTCCCCTGCCACACCCACCAAGCCACACCCACAGAACCGGTAGTAAAAAATTTTGAAACCCACCACTGAGGAGTGGGCTTTCCAGCTTCCCAGAGCCTGGGGAGGCGGTTTTCGCCCTCCCGGGGGCTCGAAGAAAGCCCCCAGAGCCCAGGGAGGGCAAAAACGCCCCCACCCCCAGCCGTGGTGCAGGATTCCGACTAGGCCACGGGGCAGAGAACTGCTTGCTAAAGTTTTTGAAGGCTTTGGCTTGCCCAGAAGTTGGCAACTGGGCTTCAGCTAGCCTGGCTGACCACGGTAAACCGGTAGTAAACCAGTTCAGATTTCACCACCGACAGGCACCTTGTGTGAAGGCAGCCTGGGAACTGTGGTTTGGCAAAGGTGTTGCTGCTTTGGGGGGTCCTCTCATTTCTGGGTGAGCTGCTTTCCCTTCAGATGGCTGAAACCCATCAGCATATGTTCCAGATCCCGCTGAAACTTGGCCAGTCCATCTGGATCTTCTTGTTCTGCCCAGAGAGTTGCTCCAGCTCAGCTGGCACTGATGGGCCTGTCCTGGAATAGGCCCAGAATCTGGCCCAAGTATCTGACTTGGTGCGCACTGGTGCTGCCTGGTAGCCATTCTTCTCCAGCCCTCCAAGATGGCTGAAGGAAGCCCCAGACAATGCAGACCAGTTGTTCTACTGACCCAAGAAACAGGGGTGAAGGATCCCTGGTCTTTTGTCCAGCCCTTTCCTCACCCCACAAAGCTCACGGCCTGAGCGAGAGGGAGTCCACTTACAGGGGGCATCCATGCCCCCTGTAAATGGACTTCCTGAGTGTCACATTCGGGGCCATCGGGTCCGGGACAGGCCAGGGGTGGGGGTGAGGCAAGGGGATCCTGTGGCTTTTTATGGCAACGTGCTGGGCAGATGACCGTTTCTCTGGCTTTTGCTCTCTCCTACTTCTTTTGCTTTGCTCTTTTGAAGCAACATCACGTAGGCCACCTTGGAGGTGATTGGCCCCTCTCATAGATTTACCCCAGTGATTGTGTTGGGGCACAATAACAACCAGGAAACAAGCCCTGACACACACACACACACACACACACACACACACACACACACACACACAGAGCTTAGAAGAAACCAGGGCTGCACCAGTTCAGATCATCTGCATCCTCGCAAAGCTTTATATTTTCAAGGCAAAAACTTGGAAGAGGTATTTTTTCCCAACCCCCCTCAGAGATCCTGGCCCCGGGTGGGGTGCAGAGAAGGGGGCCGTGCAGTCAGGGGTGAAATGCTCCCGGTTCGGACCTGGTCGCCCGATCTGGTAGCGATGGAGGCGGGTGGTTCGGAGAACTGGTAGCAAAAATTCCTCTCCCCCCCCATTGCCCAGCTGAGCCGCGCAATTGTCAGAGGCTTTTTTTTTATTTTTAAAAGCATTTTTTCTACACCCTCTTTGGCCGAAGAGGTTATAGAAAAAATGTTTTTAAAAGGAAAAAAAGCTTCTGCCAATCAGGCAAGTCAGCTGGGATCATCAGAGGCTTTAGCATTTTTTTAACAACCTCTTCAGCCGAAGAGATTGTAGAAAAAATGATTTTAAAAGTAAAAAAAAAAAAAAAGGTTGGCTATGCCCACTCAGTCATATTACATCCCCACCAAGCCACGCCCACAGCACTGGTAGTAACACATTTTACATTTCACCACTGCGTGCAGCTCTTGCTGAAAGCCCAGCTGGTGCAAAAGGACAGGAGTCCAGAGGCAGGGCACACTCGCCCGCCCGCATGGCTCCCTCCTCTCAGCGGGGGATGACCGAGAGCTCATACAGGGGCGGGATGGTGGCAAAGCCGAATTCCTGGGGTGTCAGGTCGATGTCCTTGGGCTCCACCACGGGCTTCAGCCGGAACCGCTGTAGGATGGTGGTGAAGAAGAGGAAGAGCTCCATCCGGGCCAGGCCTTCCCCCAGGCAGATGCGTTTCCCTGCGAGGAGAGACCGGGAGAAGTGGCTTAGAGCCTCCGGGCAGGTCCAAGCCATTTCCTGGCCGGAAGCTGGATGGCCAGGAGCTGCTCAGCACACTCTGGGAAAGGCAGGGCCGCTGCCTAGAGGGCCACCTGGGTTCCTGAGTTGCCAGCGGGGCCAAAGGGGCATCCAGCATGCGTAAGAAATGCCAAGGAAGCCCCCAATGCCAGCTTGGTATGGAAACCGGAAAAGCCGGCTGTAAAAGGAAAAATCCCAAGGGCAGCCAAGAAGCCTGGCCCGGGAGGGTGTGGTGGGGGGAAGGTGGGCTCGGTGTGGCTGTACCTGCGGAGAAGGGGACAAAGGCATCATTCCTCTTCAGGCACCCCTTCTCATCCAGGAAGTTCTCCGGGTGGAACCCTTCAGGACTTTTAAATTTGGTGCCGTCATGCAAGACGGTGCTGAGCATGGGAAAGACTTCTGTGCCCTGAGGAAGAGAAGGGGCAGAGGTTCTTTCGCCCAGCTGGCACAAAACGCCCAAGTGATCTGGGGAAGGCAGCCAAGAGACGATCTCCCTTTTTGCAGTGACAGAGCGGGGGCCGGTTTGGACACATGCCGAGTACCTGGGTTTTCCTACCCTTCTGTCCTGCCGATCTTTTGGGACCCCATCGACACCCTCCTCCCATCGTACCTGGCCGGCTGGGTGGGAGGAGAGGGGGCACTGCCTTTGGGCCATTAGAACTCTCCAGCTGGGATTCCTGCCTCCTGGCCAGCCCTCCTCAGCCCCTTGATCTCTCTGCCCGATCCTGCTGGGCAGTCCAGCCAGTGCCCAGGGTTTTGTTGTGGCCCATCAGTGGCCAGCGGAGCTGGCAGCAGAGTCGGACAGTGAGGAGGTTGGGGAGGAACATGGGCCAGTCCTCGGGGCTGGGGAAAGCTCGGATGAGGGCTCTGCGTCGGAGGCAGAGAGGGAGTTAGCAGAGAGGCAGAGGATCAGCTGGAGCCTGTTCCCTGGGTGCGTATGCACAGAGCTGCCAGAAGACAAGAACAACTCAGAAAGCACAGTCGACTCGGGACTAAAGCCACACCTTGGAGGTGATTGGCCCCTCGCATAGGAAACAAAAGAGGAGTGAACAGGGAGGGGGCTTTCGCAGGAAACAATTTGTTCGTTCCGTGACTCTGAGAGACTCTGTGCCACGTTTTGTCTTATACTGCGGTTGGAAACAAGTTACATGGCAGCTTGTCAAACGAGATTAGGTGTGTTGAGAAATATTCCTTTGAAAAACTATTTGGACAAAACTTGCTGACTGTGAATGAACGTAATTCACAGTCATGTAAATAAAAGAGGCTTTGCCAGTAATTCCTGCCTCCGGCTTATTAAGGGAGCCTAGGTCAGAACAGGTGGCAACATACCAGCCCGATGCCCCTGGGCCAGTCTCCCCCTCCCCAAGGCTCTGACCTTCGGAATAAGGTAGCCTCTGAATTCCGTGTCACGGGTGACCGCATGGGCCAAGTTCATGGGGATGAGGTCACTGAACCGCTGTACTTCATGGATGACCGCGTCCACATAGGGCATCTGGCTCCGGTCTTCAATGTTGGGGATCCGGTTCTGGCCAATCACACGGTCGATTTCTTCCTGCATCTTTGCTGGTAAAATGTGGCCTTAAAGTTAGTGGCTTCAACTGCACGCTCTCTGATGCACCTGGATCAGCGGCTGGGGGGGCCCAAAGAACTGGACAGGAGGGGTCTCCACCTACTGAGGGGGCTGTTCTCAAGGGCCGTGGGGCTGGCATCCCTCCCCTTCACCCAACAGCTTCTGGCCTGACCTCCTCCATGGGTGGCTCCCAGGCTGAATCGGGCATTTGTGCAGCTCACAGCAACTTCTTGCTGGCCTAGTGATCCCGGTGGCACTCAGGGGATGTGGGGGGGCTGCTTCCTGGCCTAGAGACATATACTGTGTTGGGGCTGAATCACCCACACACCCAAAATACCTTGCACTTCAGGGTACTTCATCAGCAACAGAAATCCGTATCGCAGGGTGGAGCTGACCGTCTCCGTCCCAGCAAAAAACAGGTTCAGTGTGGTCATCTCCAGGTTCTTCTGGTTGAATTCGGTGTCCGGATTGTCCTTCTCCTGAAGGCAAAGTAGAACCCAAGTGCCTGAGAAGCTCGAGGGGGGGGCTCGAAGGAAGCTTTCCAGCTGGGTTGGGGGGGAGCACACCAGGCGAGACAAGCCCTGATTGGAGGCTGACTAAGCGCCCGGTTTCAGGGGTGGGTTCTACTTACCTTTACTACCGGTTCGCAACGGGGCCGCACGCATGCGGAGAAGCGTTCTGATGACGTCGGGGTCAGTGGGTGGAGCCTCCCGCCGGTTTTACTACCGGTTCTATAGAACCGGTGCAAACTGGGGGCAACCCACCACTGCCCGGTCTCCCCAAAACAGAAATGGCCCCTTGGTCCTAGCGAGTGGCTGGACTGGCCAAGGGATTCCCAGGGGACAGGCTGTCTCTGCTGCCAGCCCCTTTCCTGCTTCACCTGTCTCTGTCCCCATCTCCACCAGTGCCCCAGTGCCCTCTGCAGGAAAGGAGCCGCATCTTTTGCCCCGTGGGAAAGCCCCCTGTGCTATTCAGCAGGTTCTGGAGAACCGGTATTTGAAATTTTGTGTAGTTCAGAGAACCGGCAAATACCACCTCTGTCTGGCCCCAGAGTGGTGTGGGAATGGAGATTTTGCAATATCCTTTCCCCAGGAGTGGGGAGGGAATGGGGATTTTGCAATATCCTTCCCCCAGGAGTGGGGAGGGAATGGGGATTTTGCAATATCCTGCCCCTGGAGTGGGGAGGGAATGGAGATTTTGCAATATCCTTCCTCAGGAGTGGGGAGGGAATGGAGATTTTGTAGTATCCTTCCCCAGGAGTGGGGAGGAAATGGGGATTTTGCAATATCCTTCCCCTGGAGTGGGGAGGGAATGGAGATTTTGCAATATCCTTCCTCCAGGAGTGGGGAGGGAATGGAAATTTTGCAGTATCCTTCCCCAGGAGTGGTGAGAAATGGGGATTTTGCAGTTTCCTTCCCCTGCCACACCCACCAAGCCATGTCCATAGAACCGGTAATAAAAAAAATTGAATTCCACCACTGCCCTGTGCCCACCGACAGCCTTGTAGCTGGGGAAATCATCCTGGGCTCCCTCCCCATCTCCTACCTTCTCCATCTGGATGAGAAAGCAGTCGATGTAATCCCGGGGAGAGTTGGGGTCCAGGGTCTCCTTGTTCTTCTTCACCCTCCTGGCAATGAAGAGCCTTACGTCCTCCAGGATGTCAGAGATCTTGGTGTGGGGCCCTGGGAAGTATTTCAGGAGGTTGGCGTAGATATCGTAGAACTGCAGAAAACGAGAGGAAAAGAATATGGCTCAGTGGCTAAGACACTGAGCTTGTCGATCAGAAAGGTCGGCAGTTCGGCAGTTCGAATCCCTAGTACCGGTCTCCTGCGTGAGCAGGGGGTTGGACTAGATGACCTCCAAGGTCCCTTCCAACTCTGTTACCGTTACATATGACATGTTACAAAAGAGCTCATTCCAGCCGATGGATGCATAGCCGAAGGTACTCAATGAGATCGATTAATCAGTTAATGAATGCAGCATTTCAAGAATAAATCAGCAGATGCATTTGCAGAATAAAGCTGATATGAGAGGAACTTAAATAATCATATGAACTTAAATAATCAAATAAACATATGAAGAACGGTTGCAGGAACTGGGTATGTCTAGTCTGATGAAAAGACATGATAGCAGTCTTCCAATATCTCAGCGGCTGCCACAAAGAAGAGGGAGTCAAGCTATTCTCCAAAGCACCTGAAGGCAGGACAAGAAGCAATGGGTGGAAACTAATCAAGGAGAGAAGCAACCTAGAACTAAGGAGAAATTTCCTGACATTTAGAACAATTAATCAGCGGAACAACTTGCCTCCAGAAGTTCCAACACTAGAAGTTTTTAAGAAGAGATTGAACAACCATTTGTCTGAAATTGTGTAGGGTTTCCTGCCTAAGCAGGGGGTTGGACTAGAAGACCTCCAAGGTCCTTTCCAACTCTGTTATTCTATTCTAATCTTGGAGATTTTTTCTTTCAAGGGCCCTTTCCTCCCTCCTGGCTGCCCCTTGGGTCTTGGACCAGAGTTCTCATCCTCCCAAGCCATGGCAGCTGCCCAGTGTTTTCGGATAGTGCCAGATTGTCCGAGGGAGGAGCAGTCTCAGATCCTCCCATTTTGCTGAAGAGAGGTGAAGAGCTGTGTGGAACTACCTGAGACCAGCTGTTGCTCATCTGCCGAAAGCTGTCGTTCATCATCTTCATGAGAGTCAGAAATTCCTTGTCTTTGTAATCAAAGCGATCGCCGAAGACGATCGAACAGATGACGTTGGACACGGCACAGCTGAGGAAGAAGATGGGGTTGAAGGGCTTCTCTGGTGCGGAGGGAGAAAGAGAGAAGGAAGGGAGGGTCAACATGTTGTAGGAACCGCTTAGGCCAGTGATGGCGAACCTTTTTGTCGCCAAGTGCCAAAAAGGGAGCATGCGTGTATCTGGACTGCAACCCGGAAGACGAGCTGCCCAGGGCACATGCGCACGCCCAAAAATGAACTTCCGGTTTCAGCTGCTAAACTTCCGGTTTCAGCCAGCTACTCTTCCGAGTTTCTGGGCCGCATGCACTCTCAACAATCACCTGGATGGTGCGCATGCTCACGCAGGAAAACAGGAGACCAAGTCTTTCTGGCACTGCCGCATGCAAAAAGGCCAAGTGATCGTCACGCTCACATGTGCGCCAGAAACCCGGAAGAGGAACAGGTGATGCCGCGCATGCCAGGCGACATGGCTCTGCGTGCCACTTCGGGCCCACATGCCATAGGTTCACCATCACGGGCTTAGGCCAAAGATTTGTTTTAGGAGGGGTGTGGGGCAGTGGTGGGTTGCTACCGGTTCTCCCCAGTTCTTGCGAACCGGTAGTGGAAATTTTGAGTAGTTCGGAGAACCAGTAAATACCACCTCTGCCTGCCACCCGCCCCCCCCATCTATTCGCTGCCTCCCGAGTCCCAGCTGATCGGCTAGAAAAAAAAACTGTTTAAACTCTTGCCGCGGCGCTTCAAAGGGCCACCCTACAGCTGATCAGCGGTAAAAGGCAGTGTGGTGGTAGACTAGTGTGCTCCAAAAACAAATGGGTGGACCAGCTCTGCAAGCAGTTAAAAGCCTGGTAGACCAGTACCTCTGCTAAATCCTAAAGCCGTGATGGCGAACCTATGGCATGCGTGCCACAGGGGGCACGCGGAGCCATATCTGTGGGCACGTGAGCGTTGCCCTAGCTCAGCTCCAGCGTGCTTGCACGTGCCAGCCAGCTGATTTTCAGCCTTCTAGGCCCACTGGAAGTCGGGAAACGGGCTGTTTCTGGCCTCTGGAGGGCCTCCAGGGGGTGGGGAAGGCAGTTTTTGCCCTCCCCAGGCCCCAAGAAAGCCTCTGGAGCCTGAGGAGGGCAAAAAACAGGCCTACTTGGCCCCACCATGTCATCGCATGCCAAAAGCGGGGGTCGCGTGAGCGGGTCACGCGTACATGCGCAGGGGAGCAGGGCACATTGAGTTATGGGTATGGGCACACACGCGCGCGACCCCCCACGCTCCCCTTGCTTTTGGCACGCGATGGCAAAAAGGTGAGCCATCCCTGTCCTAAAGAATTGTCACATGACCATCAAATCACGCCCACAAAATAAGCCATGCCCACGGAACCAGTAATAAAAAATTTTAGAACCCACCCCTGGTGTGGGGTGATTCCTCTCTTCCCCTGTACGCAATTATTTAGAGAGGAAATGATGCCTGATGCCTGTTTGAGTCAGTGTTATGTATGTATCTATTCTGTGTGGGAAATTCAAATGTTCAGTGAATTCTGATTGGTTCATGGTTGCCTCTGAAAAGTATATAAAGAGGACTGTTGCCTGTGTTTCTTTGCTGAAGTCTCACCCTGAATTAAAGAGCTGTTGTCACTAGCTTGCTTGTGCCTCTCGTTATTCCTGCGCTACAACATTGGCGACGAAGGTGGGATTGAGGCCACAAGAAGCAAACTAAAAGAGCTCGGACTTCCAGCCAGGCTGACAAGTGGACTATGGAGACATACTGCAATGTCTGCCTACGTCCCGCCCAAACCTTTCGATCCGACCCGAGAGAAGTGGGGATCGTATCTGACCAGGTTCGAGTGCTCCCTGGAAGCAAGCGAAATGCAAGGGCTCTCAGCGAACCGGAAAAGAGCCCTGTTCCTAAGCGACTGTGGGCCAGAGGTGTTTGAGATGGCCGAGTCCCTCTGTGAGCCAACCCCAGTCCAGACGGTCTCCTGGGACATCCTTCAAGCAAACCTGAGAGCCCACTACACTCCAGTTCCTTCTAAATTTGTACAGCGCTATGAACTCCGGCAACGTGTACAAAAAGAAGGAGAACCAGTCAGCGCATATGTGGCCGCACTTTGAAAAGCCGCAATGCATTGTGACTACAGAGACTTAGACGACGCGCTACTTGAGCAATTGATTTGCGGTGTTAGAGACACTCGGTTACAGAGGCGCCTTCTGGCCAAGCCAGACCTAACGCTAGCCGGCGCATTGGACGAAGCCCAAGCACACAAAGCGAAGGCTTCTGAAGTGCTGCAGTGACCACTACCAAGCAAAGACGGGCCGAAAAAAGCCCCCGTCCACAGAGAGGAGGCGCGAACCAGCACGGAAGAAGAGTCAGACGAGGACGTCTTCCATACTGAGAAGAAAAAGAGCGAGCAAAGCCGCCGCCATGAGAACTGTTCTAGCTGTGGTGGGGATCACGAGAGACAATCGTGTAAATATAGAAATGCCATTTGCAGGCATTGCGATAGGAAAGGCCACCTAGCACGGGTTTGCAGAGCTCAATTTCCACGTAGTCGAAAGCCACGTGACTACCGTGACCAACCAGAACTGGCTCATTCAAAACAGCCAATCAAAGATGAGGGCGCGAGAAAACGGCACGAATCTCAAAAGCAAGAGACCTACACCACGAGAATCGGCCAAGCCAGCACAACCGACGATGAGAAAGCCTACACAAAAGTAGAAATCGAAGGCAGACCGTGCGAAATGGAAATCGACACCGGGTCCACACTGTCGATCATGTCCTGGACAACACTCAAAGCGCTCCTGCCCAAGTTCCAGAAAGCCCAGCTGTCCCGACAGAAAGTTCGCCTCCTCGACTACCAGGGAAACCGAGTTCCCGTAGAAGGCATGGGCACGGGTCACCTATGGCGAGTTTCAGAAAGAACTGCCCCTGACCATCGTAAGCAAGCCGCTACCGAGTCTCCTGGGCATGGCGAGGTTCCGAGCCCTCAACATGGGCTTCACGGGCGTTCACAGCATCGGAGGGCCATCCCTCAAAGAAACCCTTCTTCACGAGTTTCAGGACGTTTTTGAAGAGACTCTAGGCAAGTACGTGGGGACCCCTATCTCCTTTAATTTAGACCCCAACGTAGCGCCAATCAGGCTAAAAGCAAGACGGGTTCCATTTGCTTTAAAGCCCAAAATTGATGCAGAGCTCGACAAGCTCATTAAGCAAGGGGTGTTAGTTCCCGTAGATCACGCTAAGTGGGAAACCCCGATAGTCACGGCAGTTAAATCGGACGGATCAATTAGAATTTGCGCTGACTATAAGTGTTCAATCAATAAGGCGTTGCAGCAGAGCGCCTATCCCGTTCCGATCGTCCACCATCTACTACACTCCCTGGGGCCTGGCAAGCTATTCGCAAAACTAGACCTTGCTCAGGCGTACCAGCAGCTGCCAGTAGATGACGCTACGGCAGAATTGCAGACCATAGTAACTCACAGAGGTGCCTTTAAATGCACTAGACTACAGTTTGGGGTTAGCATCGCCCCAGGACTCTTCCAGAGTACCATGGAGCATCTTCTACAAGGCCTCCCAGGTGTCGTCCCTTATTTTGACGACGTCCTAATTAGTGGCCAAGACGAGATGCAGTTAGGACATAGGGTTAGACAAGTCCTGACCAGATTCAGAGAAGCGGGACTCAAACTCAAACGAGCAAAATGCAAAATAGCGGTTCCATCAGTGGAATTCTTAGATTACCGAATCGACGGCACAGGCATTCACCCCACAGAAAGCAAAGTCAGGGCCATCCAGAAAACGCCCACCCCTAAATTGAAGCCCGAACTACAGGCCTTCTTGGGGCTTCTTAATTTCTACACCATATTTTTAAAACACAAAGCCACCATTGCGGGGCCACTACACAGGCTCCTTGGAAAAAACGTCCCCTGGGTGTGGGGCAAACGAGAAGTGGCTGCATTCAACGCAGTAAAGAAACTTCTGTCTGAGGACAGTTTCCTCATCCAATACAATTCAGAACTACCGCTAGTGTTGGTGTGTGACGCTTCCCCCTTTGGCGTAGGTGCAGTCTTAAGCCATAGACTGCCAAACGGGTTAGAGGTGCCCATCGCCTATTAGTCTCGCACTTTATCTAGTGCTGAAAGGAACTATAGCCAGCTGGACAGGGAGGCATTAGCGGCTGTAGCTGGGGTCAAAAAATTTCACAAGTACTTGTTTGGCCGTACTTTTGAACTCATTACGGACCACCAGTCTCTTTTGGGACTTTTGGCTGGAGATAAACCGACCCCGGCTGCTCTTTCTCCCCGGATGACCAGATGGTCCATTTTCTTAGCCGCCTATTCCTACAGACTGCTCCACCGGCCGGGCAGAACTCTGGGACATGCTGACGCCCTCAGCCGATGCCCCTTGCCCGAACTGTTGGACAACCCGACTCTGGAAGCCCCAGTTTTGCTCATTGATGTTGTATCCCCGGGCCCCATTTCTTCAAGCGAGGTGGCAAAGGCTTCTGCCAGGGACTCTGTTTTGTGCACTTAATGGGCTGGGTAATGCGGGGTTGGCCTACCAAGGTGGACAGTGGGGATTTTCAATTGTACTTTAACAAGAAAAATGAACTGTCAATGTTGGGGGGTTGCTTATTGTGGGGTGACAGGGTGGTATTTTGTATATAAATATGTAAATAGATAGGATAAGTGCCTTCTGGGAGTGGAGGGGTGTTATGTATGTATCTATTTTGTGTGGGAAATTCAAATGTTCAGTGAATTCTGATTGGTTCATGGTTGCCTCTGAAAAGTATATAAAGAGGACTGTTGCCTGTGTTTCTTTGCTGAAGTCTCACCCTGAATTAAAGAGCTGTTGTCACTAGCTTGCTTGTGCCTCTCGTTATTCCCGCGCTACAACAGTCAGCAAAGAAAGAAACCACATTCCGTGATGCTTTTTTTCAGCCCAAGCATCTCCTGGACCAGAGGTTTCCTAGTCCGAGCCCCTCCTCAAGGTCTCCTGCCTCTCAGGTCCCCTCCGGCCCTGTGATTCTATGTTTGTTCTGGACATCTTAATATCTGACCTCAGCATTGCTGCAATGGGTTGGATCCATGGTGGGATTCAGCCGGTTCGGGCCAGTTTGGGCCAAATAGAGCCTTGGTACTACAGGGGTTTAAGGCACCCTGTTATTAAGCTTATTAAGACCAGCTGCCTGCAATTACTGCAGGGTTCGAATCTCGCCAAGGCTCAAGGTTGACTCAGCCTTCCATCCTTTCTAAGGTAGGTGAAATGAGGACCCAGTTTGTGGGGGCAATAAGCTGACTTTGTATAAATATACAAAAGGATGAAGGCTATTGCTGAGCACATTGTAAGCCGCCCTGAGTCTTCAGAGAAGGGCGGCATATAAATCAAATTAAAAAAAAAACAAAAACCCGTAGTTAAATTGTTGGCTGGCCCGCCCTTTCCCGCCCCACCCCTTCCAGGAGTCCCTATGCACCCCATTTTGGCTCGCAGGTAAGTACAGGGAGGCCTATTAGGCCCAAAATGGGGCATGGGGGGCGTGGTGTGTTCCCCCACCCTCGCAGCCCATTTTCGCTCCTGGGAAGCCTCCTAGGCCCAAAATAGGACATGGGGATGCAGCGCACCCCTCGTGGCCTGTTTTCATTCCCAGGGGGCTGCAGGAGGCCGAGTGCTGCCTGTCACACCCCCTGGCCACGCCCACCATGGCCACGCCCACCCAGCTGGTCATTAGGGCAGAGAACCGGTTGCTAAATTATTTGAATCCCACCACTGGGTTGGATGGTCGGTCAATCGGTCCAGCGGCCTTTCAAACCGTCCCCTCCCCTCCCCCCCCCCCCTCCCCCAGCCTCACTTTGGGTTTTCTGAAATTCCTCCAGCAGGAACTGGGCCTCCTCTTGAATCCTCTCCTTGATGGATTTCTTCCCCATTCCAAAATTCCTCAGGATGGTTACGGAGAACCGGCGCAGCTGCTTCCAGCGCTCCCCATCGGAAAAGGCCACCCCTGGGAACAGAGGAGAGCAATGGGCCCCGTGACCAGGAAAGGGGGGGCAGCCTGGCCTGCTCCTGCCCCACCAGCCTGGGGCCCTCACCGTGATCCTGGAAGGTCTTCTGCAGGGTAGGGTTGGTTTTCCTCCCGGAGAATTCTTCCGCCTTGTCAATCAGGGCCTCCTTCACTGCTTCGTAGCCACACAAGACCACAATCGGGCGGTTTCCAAAATAGACCGTGAAGACGGGGCCGTATTTTTCCCGCAGCTGCACAGGAACCAAAAGGAGAGATGGAAATACAATTTGCAACTACAATTCAGCCCAACATTTCGGTTGTTAAGTGAGATGTTTGTGAAGTGAGTTTTGGCTTCTTTTACGATTTTTTTCTTGCCACGGTTCTTCAGTGAATCGCTGCAGTCGTTAGTAAGTTAAGTTGTTAAGTGAATCTGGCTTCCCCATTGACTTTGCTTGTCAGGTCACAAAAGGGGATGATGGGACCCAGGGACGCTGCAGCCATCAGAAGTATGAGACTGCTGCCAACAGTCCGAATTTTGATCACGTGATCATGGGGATGCTGCAAAGATCGTAACTGTGAAAAAGAGTCATTATTTGAATCCGACCACTGGGTTGGAAATTTTGAGTAGTTCGGAGAACCGACAAATACCACCTCTGGCTGGTCCTAGAGTGGGGTGGGAATGGAGATTTTGCAATATCCTTCCCCCACCTGGGGAAGGATACTGCAAAATCCCCATTCCCTCCCTCTCCTGGGGAAGGATACTGCAAAATTCCCATTCCCTCCCCACTCTTGGGGGAAGGATACTGCAAAATCCCCATTCTCTCCCCTCTCCTGGGGGAAGCATACTGCAAAATCCCCATTCCCTCCCCACTCCTGGGAGGAGGATACTGCAAAACTCCCATTCCCAGCCCACTCTGGGGCCAGACAGAGGTGGTATTTGCCGGTTCTCCGAACTACTCAAAATTTCTGCTACCAGTTCTTTGGAACCTGCTGAATTTCACCCCTGGAACCACCCATCTCAAATTCACCAATTGGGGAACCACGGAAAGCCAAGGAAGGTCAGTAACAGTAACAGAGTTGGAAGGGACCTTGGGGGTCATCTAGCCCAACCCCCTTGCTCACACAGGAGACCTATACGAGGGATTCGAACCGCTGACGTTTGATTGGCGTCTTAGCCACTGAGCAGCCTGAGAACAAACTCGGCTGGAGAACTGAGAGAGAACGAAGGAGACGAAGGAGAAGGCGGCCCAAGAGGTGCCCTTGCCAGAGACTGACCCTCAGTGCCATCCATGTGGAAACTTGAAAGGGTTGGCATGCATCCAAGCTTCCTTGGACTTTGCTTCCAAGCTCTTCCATCTGCCACAAATTGAATAAAACCAACAGGACATCTGGTCACTGGATTGGTAGAAATTCTTGAACGTAATCAGAGGTTCTCTGCTGTGGAAAACAGCCTCCACCGCCCTTTGAAAGACAGCAACAAGGAGGGGCCGCTTCACTTTTGCCTTGGACTGAATGACCGAGAGTCACTCAGCTGGCAGGACTGTTTTATGATGGACAGAGGCAGAGCGTTAGTTGCTCAAGCGCCTGGCGATTTACACAGTGCAGCCATTGAAGGTGCCGTGAGATACAATCTTAATGCCAGAAGATCTGCCTCATGAACGAGTTCAGTTCTTGGGAATAGGAAAATTAATATTAAATTAACATTCCTGTATTCATGTATTCATCCTGTAGCATAACACACTGTGTACCCAGGGGTGAAATCCAGGAGGTTCTGACAGGTTCTGGCGAACTGGTAGTGGAAATTTTGAGTAGTTCGGAGAACTGGCAAATACCATCTCTGGCTGGCCCCAGAGTGGGGAGGGAATGGAGATTTTCCAATATCCTTTCCCCAGGAGAGAGGTGGGAATGGGGATTTTGTAGTATCTTCCCCCCAGGAGAGGGGAGGGAATGGGGATTTTGCAGTATCCTTCCCCCAAGAGAGGGGTGGGAATGGGGATTTTGCGGTATCCTTTCCCCAAGAGAGGGATGGGACTGGAGATTTTGCGGTATCCTTCCCCCAGGAGAGGGGAGGGAATGGGGATTTTGCAGTATCCTTCCCCCAAGAGAGGGGTGGGAATGGGGATTTTGCGGTATCCTTCCCCCAGGAGAGGGATGGGAAAGGAGATTTTGCGGTATCCTTCCCCCAGGAGAGAGGAGGGAATGGGGATTTTGCAGTATCCTTCCTCCAAGAGAGGGGTAGGAATGGGAATTTTGCGGTATCCTTCCCCCAGGAGAGGGGTGGGAATGGAGATTTTGCAGTATCCTTCCCCAAGGAGAGGGAAGGGAATGGGGATTTTGCAGTATCCTTCCCCCAAGAGAGGGGTGGGAATGGGGATTTTGCAGTATCCTTCCCCCAGGAGAGAGGTGGGAATGGGGATTTTGCAGTATCCTTCCCCCAAGAGAGGGGTGGGAATGGGGATTTTGCAGTATCCTTCCCCCAGGAGAGAGGTGGGAATGGGGATTTTGCAGTATCCTTCCCCCAAGAGAGGGGTGGGAATGGGGATTTTGCAGTATCCTTCCCCCAGGAGAGGGGTGGGAATGGGGATTTTGCAGTATCCTTCTCCAAAGAGAGGGGTAGGAATGGGGATTTTGCAGTATCCTTCCCCCAGGAGAGAGGTGGGAATGGGGATTTTGCGGTATCCTTCCCCCAAGAGAGAGTGGGAATGGGGATTTTGCAGTAACCTTCCCCTTCCACGCCCACCAAGCCACCAAGCCACACACACAGAACCGGTAGTAAAAAAAAATGGATTTCACCACTGTGTGTACCCCTTAGTCCAAAGAAAAATTGCACAATGCCCCGAAGTCATACCAAGGCAGAACCCTAACCCAAACACCCCCACACACACATACACACCCCTTATATACTGGAAACAAAGCTTCCACAATTCTAGAAATTGGCTCTGGGGGATCTTTTTGACAACAGTGGCAGCATTGGCATGCTTCAGGCGTATAGCTTAGGAAAGGAGATATTTGCATTTCCTGATGTTTCCTTGTTAATATTCCAGACACTAGACTAATTAAAAATGGGTGGTAGGGGTGGTGGCTACTCTAGGTTATAGAATTGCTCCACAAAACAACTTTCTGTGCCATGCTTTTTTGGGGGGGGGCACTGGAAAGGCTTCCCTCTGCCAGCCTGTCAGCCAATAGTCTTGACAAAGTTCCCCAAGGAAAGCAAACCATTTTCCCAGCCCCATCAAGGCTTCCTTTAGCCTAGAAAAGTGTTCTCTAATCTCGGTTTGTGTGGCTCCTTGTGAAACACGCGATCTGCTTGATCAGAAGGCGATTCGGCCAAATCCGAGATACGATGGCCAAGGGGGGAAAATTGCTTTCCCAGGCTTCACGTAGGTGTGAATGCCTAAATGGAAGCCAAAGAAGAAGAAGAAGAAAGGAAAGACCCAGATTGGATCCCGAAAGAAGACATAACCCGGAGAATCTAGCCTAACAGTAACAAAGTTGGAAGGGACTTTGGCCACTCAGTGAATTGGCCACTGAGCCACCTAGTCATCTCACGGAAGCTACAAGGAAGGTGGTGCTGGAAAGAGACGGCGGGGAACGTTTGGGATCGTGGAGAAGGAAAATCCAGGGCGCTGGTTGAGGAGATCCAAGAGGCCAGGTGGAAGTGGACGAGGGGAGAACATCTCTGGGGCTTCCCCTGGGCAAGAGAGGTGGACTTACCTTGAGGAGGGAGGACAAGGTTTTGAATGCCTTCATCTGCAAGAAGTTCCCAACCAGAGGCAGAGGAGGGGGTCCAGGAGGCAGCCGGCCCCTGGCAGAGGACTTCCTCCGGACGAACATCAGGACGAGGCAGGAGAGGGAGGCGACCAAGAAGAGGGAGACTGCACTTGCCAGCTCCATGGTGTCAGCCTCTATGCAGGCTCAGTGGGGTTGCGGGTATTTAAGTGTGGCTGGGTTTGGCACCACTTCTGGGTTACGTAAGAGCACCAGGTAAATATATCAAATTCTTAATCACTGAAACCGGTGCCAAATCAGAAAGAAAGTTTTTATTGTTGTTTTTTGTAACCCATGACCTAGAATGCATGAGTTGTATCTCTGCAAAGTCCTGATGCCATGCCTTATTGCCTGGTGCCCACAGGCATGGCTGCATTCCTACCCAGGGACGGTCCTGGCATTGGGAGCCTCCTTCTCCCACTCCATTCCAGGTACTCAGAGGGCCACCAGAAGACTCGGGAGCCATCGCCTCCTAGGCCAGCTCAAGCTAGGGCACACTGGGGGCTCCAGCAGCTGCACCCAGAGACCCGGGAGGAGAGGAAGAAGGCCTGGGTATGGGGTCCAGGCAGTTCCTCTGGGCAGTGCAAGATTTGCTGGGGATTAATTGATATTGATTGATTTAAGACACCCATCTTCAACATGACTTTGGGCAACTCAAGTTTAAGTGAACAGTTGTGCCCAGCTCGGTGGGAAAATCTGCATCTGGCCAAAGTTAGCTGGCCCAGCTGCAGGGAGGGGCAGCTGCTTCCAGCTGTTTTCAACCAAATCAGAAAGAAATTGTTTGTTGTTGTTTTTTGTAACATATGACCTAGAATTCATGAGTTGTATCTCTGCAAAGTGCTGATGCCATGCCTTATTGCCTAGTTCCCACAGGCATGGCTGCATTCCTACCCAGGGACAGTCCTGGCATTGGGAGCCTCCTTCTCCCACTCCATTCCAGGTACTCAGAGGGCCACCAGAAGACTCGGGAGCCATCGCCTCCTAGGCCAGCTCAAGCAAGGTTGCACTGGGGGCTCCAGCAGCTGCACCCAGAGACCCAGGAGGAGAGGGAGGCAGTGGCAGGCCTGGGGATGGGGACCAGGCAGTTCCTTCGGGCAGTGCAAGATCTGCTGGGGATTGATTGATATTGATTGATTTAAAAGATTTATAAGGCCACCCATCTTCATGACTTTGGGCAACTCAAATTTAAGTGGGTTAACCCTAACCCTAACCCTAACCCTGGGGGGCCGCCAGTCGACATTGTTTGGCCGACGGCACCTGGAGGAGCCCCTCTCTATGGGAGCGTACTGGTCGGTGGGAGGCTATTGGTGGTAGCAGGCGGTCCCGCAAATAACCAGGTCCTAAGCCATGGAGCGCTCTAAAGGTGATAACCAAGACCTTGAAGCGCACTCGGAAGACCACCGGGAGCCAGTGCAGCTCGCGCAGGAGAGGTGTTACATGGGAGCACCACTTTGCTCCCAATACCACCCGCGCAGCCGCACTCTGCACCAGTTGGAGCCTCCGAGTGCTCCTCAAGGGGAGCCCCATGTAGAGAGCGTTACAATAGTCCAGACGGGAGGTGACGAGGGCATGAGTGACCGTGCGTAGGGAGTCCCAATCTAGAAAGGGACGCAACTGGCGGATCAGGCAAACCTGATGAAAAATCCTCCCGGTCACGGCCGTCAAGTGCTCTTCTAAAGACAGCCGTGAATCCAGGAGGACACCCAAGTTGCGAGCCCTTTCCGTGGGGGCCAATGATTTGCCCCCAATAGTCAGCGATGGCACCAGCTGACTATATCGGGACGTCAGAAACCACAGCCACTCGGTCTTGGATGGGTTGAGTCTGAGCCTGTTTCTCCCCATCCAGATCCATACGGCCTCCAGGCACCGGTACATCACTTCAAGGGCATTGTTGGGGTGGTCTGGGGTGGAGATGTACAGCTGGGTGTCGTCAGCGTACTGGTGGTACTCCACCCCGAAACCACGGATGATCTCGCCCAGCGGCTTTACATAAATGTTGAACAAAAAGGGCGAGAGGACCGATCCTTGTGGCACCCCACATATAAGGGGCCTCGGGGTCGACCTCTGCCCCCCTGTCAACACAGACTGCGACCGGTCGGAGAGAAAGGAGGAGAACCTGTGCCTCCCACCCCCAACTCTTCCAACCGGTGCAGCATGATACCATGGTTGATGGTATCAAAAGCCGCTGAGAGATCTTACAGGACCAGGACAGAGGAGCACCCCCTGTCCCGAGCCCTCCAGAGATCATCCACCAATGCGACCAATGCCGTTTCCGTGCTGTACCCAGGCCTGAAGCCCGACTGGAACGGATCTAGATATGTTGTTTCATCCAGGTACTGGGGAAGCTGTCGCGCAACCACGCTCTCAACAACCTTCGCCACAAAGCGAAGGTTGGAGACTGGACGATAATTACTCAATACTGCCGGGTCCAGGGAAGGCTTCTTGAGGAGAGGTCTCACCACCGCCTCTTTCAAGGCAGCGGGAAAGACACCCTCGCCCAATGAAGCATTTATAATCCCCTGGAGCCAGCCTCACGTCACCTCCCGGGAAGCCAGCACTAACCAGGAGGGGCACGGGTCCAACAAACATGTGGTTGCATTCAGTCTACCCAGAGTCCTGTCCACGTCCTCAGGGGTCACAGGATCAAATTCATCCCAGATAACATTCACAGGACCTGCCTCCGTCATCCCCGCTGGATCTACCCAGTCGGAGTCAAGATCTTCCCGAATTTGAGTGATTTTGTCATATAGATACTGAACAAATTCCTAGGCTCTTCCCTCCAAGGGGTCCTCCCTCGCTTCCTGGTGGAGCAGGGAGCGGGTTACCCTAAACAGGGCGGCTGGGCAATTATCTGATGATGCAATAAGAGCAGCGAAATGAGTACATTTTGCTGCTTTTATCGCCACTAGGTAATTCTTAATATGAGATCTTACCAGTGTCCGGTCAGATTCAGCACGACTGGCCCTCCAACTACTCTCTAGGCATCTTTTCCGGCACTTCATCTCCCTCAGCTCCTCGGTGAACCAAGGAGCCAGGTGAGATCGGCGCCGGGTCAGAGGCCGCAAAGGCACAACTCGATCCAGAGCTCCAGCGGCCGCCCTATCCCAGGCAGCCACTAGGTCTCCAGTCAAGGCGTGAGCCAGAACCTCAGGGATTGGCCCAAGCTCCACCTGGAACCTATCAGGTTCCATCAGGCACCTGGGGCGGTACCATCTTATCGGTTCTGCCTCCCTGCGGCGGGGTGCAGCAGTTCGAAGGTCAAGGCGAAGGAGAGAGTGATCCGACCATGACAAGGGCTCGATGACTATATCCCCTATCTCAAGATCACTCAGCCACTGTCCAGAGACAAAAACCAAGTCCAGTGTGTTTCCCCCCATGTGCGTAGGGCCATGAATTAGCTGGGTCAGGTCCATAGCCATCATGGAAGCCATGAACTCCCGAGCCACCTCAGACGCCTCACCCACGGACGGCAGGTTAAAATCCACCATGACCATAAGTCTGGGGGTATCAACCGCCACCGCGGCGATAACATTGAGTAGCTCAGGCAGGGCTGCTGCCACGTGGCCGGGAGCCAGTTACGTGATCAGCAAACCCATCTGAACCCCATGACCCCACTTCACAAGGAGGGTCTCACAACCGGCTGTCTGAGGAACAGTGGCCTCCCTCGGCCTAAGGCCTTCTCTAATAATAACCGCTACTCCCCCACCCCTCCCCTGTGACCTCGGCTGATGGAATGCGTGGAAGCCTGGTGGGCACATTTCTACCAGAGGAACCCCTCCCTCCAGGCCCAACCAGGTCTCCGTAATACCCGCCAGGTCCGCTCCCCACTCCTGAACAAGATCACAAATGAGGGGGGCTTTATTTACTACGGACCTGGCGTTGCACAACATCAGTCGAAGGCCCGGGCCCTGAGGGTCTGTGCAACCTGGAGAACGAGTGGAGCCTTGGGGGCCGGAGCACGCTACCGCTTGAAGACAGCGGATGTGCGCTCCCTTAACATGATATGGCCCCCTGCTCCCGCCATATCTACCCCTACCCCTCACAGTACCAATGGTAAAAATACAATCTGGACAAGCTCGACCCCCCCCCATTTCCTCCGGATCTCCCCCCCGCCGCGCATAGTGGCCAGGCCCGATCTTCCCCTTGGTGGGTTATCCCCCAAACCCACAACCCTAGTTCCAATTTTACCCTCCCCCCCGGGACCCCTTAAAAATTTATCCAAAACTTTACATAAAAAGCCCCTCAACCCCCTCTTCGCCGCATGCCACATCTCTGGGTTCCAAGACCCGTCATTGAGGTAGGCCCTCAATAACGTGGAGGGCCAGGCTTGCGAGAGAGGGGAGTCTCGCAATGCAAGAAGCTGTGCCCTTAAGTAAACTAAGCTCTGAGGTAGTGATAAGGTACGGCCAAGGGCTCCATGATAGTCCAAATTGTCCTGAAAAAAAGGCAGGTTGACCATAAATGGGAGAGTCTCCACTGTCCTCTCATGGCAGTGGGGGAGTCCAATGTTCCAACCAATTCGAGGGTAATCGTCCAACCAGCCTCTCACGATGGTTGGCCAACTAGCCATGGGGGAGATGGTACATCCCATCGGTGGTGAAACAATGATAGAAACCGGCTCCGTTCGTCTTCCCGTAAACTGCCATTTTCCATACAGCCAGCGTGCTAGATAACAAACAGAGCCAGGTCCAAAGTCTCCAGAAGAAAGTAAGCTGTCCACAATATTCATACAGGCAGCGTACAGATGGATAGTACAGGCAAGCTGTACTAGATGGAAAATAGGTGGGAACCGCCTCCACCGAACAGAAACCGGCAGGGCAAGCATGTTAAGTCATAGGGCCTAATAATGGCCCAACTAGGACGGACATAAATTATCTACTACTGCATACACTTACAGCGGCACTAATAACTTTTGCTCAGAAGTGGAAGGAGAAAGATACCCCACCTGAAGAGGAAATACAGTACTACTAAAAATTTTCAACTGCGCAGAAATGGATAGACTCACCTTGGAACTCGAGGATAAAAGCAAAACATCGTGCTATAAAATCTGGATAAAATTCTACGAATGGTTAGACAAAAGGAGGATAGCCGAGACAAATTAGACTAGAAATATATACGTTATTATAGTTAAATGTGTATGTGAATTCTA